CGTTATCAAATCGACATATTGTCTTTTTTAGATAAACAACTTGGATAGCAATATCGCTAAAATATTTAAACTCAAATTCTATGCCAAATGCGTTTTGCGTTGGTTTGACATTATTATCTGATTCCTGTAGCATGGCCAAGTTAATACCCTCCCACTAGCTTAAAAAACGAAATAGCAAAAAAAGGCTTAGTCGGAACATTCTGCGCGTCTTGCACAGCAACTGGTTATTTTTGTTTTTGTTTGGATAAAGCGATTATTTAAAAAATTGATAATTTTGGACGAATAAATAAATTTGAAATATTTAGTTTTACTTGCACTGTAAGCGGCTACATTGTTTTTATTCAAGCGCGGCTGCAACAATAGCTTACGGTCGGATCACGTTGTTCAACTAAATTTACTTTTTTAGAGCAAAATTAATCAAAATAGTAGTGTTTGACGGAAATTTTCATTAACTTTTGAAGATATCAACCCCCTGAGCTCCTAACGTGTTGGAGGTTTGAATATTGTAGACTGAAAGTTTTTTAAAAAAATTCGGAGGTACGGCTTTCCCAACTCGCTGGACTAAATTATATTTAAATTAATGCACTTGTCTATGATGCTCGTAGAAATATTTGTTAGTTTTTGAAAAAGTCAAGTATTTGAGAGCTGCGAACAAATCCACTATTTTACGCGCTCAAGTAATCTTTCCTAACTTAATTGAGGCGAGCTAATTGGTCCTTACTTAGCTCAGTTTACATTTTAAATCTCCAATTTGTTTGAAATTGATTTTGTTTCAAAGATTGAGCTACTCTATGCTGGTTTTGCGCTTCTGTTTGCGAAGTGCAGCTTGTATAGGTGTCGATGATTGACAAAGTTGAAAAAATTTAAATAGCTGTTCAATACGGTAATTGTTGCGTGAATTACACGCGGGAAATTTTGAAAGTTTTTCTGGCAGTTTTTAAACTGTTTCTGTGTACGTGCATATTTTGACTAAAATAACTGAGTTGAATAGGTTTTCAGTGCTTGCAGCATAATTGAAAAGCTAAGTGAGTGATTAATGAAAAAAGTGCGTCGTCAGTTTTTTTTATCGTTTTCTAGAACAAAGAGTCTTCATTTTTCTAATACACACATTTACTGTTCACTTTTCTCATTTTTAGGCTATCTACTACCGTTTTGTCGGGATATAAAATTGCTTATTATTAGAACTTTGTTAAGAGTTGATGAAAATAGTTCAGACTCTTATATAGGTCGCGATGATTTTTTTCTTTCGTTTTCAGGTTCTTAAAATCCAATTTATTCTTTCGCGGTTTGACTTTTGATTTCCTTTCATGTTCAGTTAAAAGGAAGGCAAACTCCACTATCGAACAGTAAAAGTGTAAAGGTCACGAAAACGTGATCGACTTCTAGTTTCAAAATTGGAATTTAAATTTCAGATTTCCGTCGAAGTATAAATTTTTTTTAATGATCCAGTTTTCTCAACGTTTTTCTGGCAGTTTTTAAACGGTTTCTGTGTACGTGCATATTTTGACTAAAATAACTGTGTTGAATAGGTTTTCAGTGCTTGCAGCATAATTGAAAAGCTAAGTGAGTGATTAATGAAAAAAGTGCGTCGTCAGTTTTTTTTAATCGTTTTCTAGAACAAAGAGTCTTCATTTTTCTAATACACACATTTACTGTTCACTTTTCTCATTTTTAGGCTATCTACTACCATTTTGTCGGGATATAAAATTGCTTATTATTAGAACTTTGTTAAGAGTTGATGAAAATAGTTCAGACTCTTATATAGGTCGCGATGATTTTTTTCTTTCGTTTTCAGGTTCTTAAAATCCAATTTATTCTTTCGCGGTTTGACTTTTGATTTCCTTTTATGTTCAGTTAAAAGGAAGGCAAACTCCACTATCGAACAGTAAAAGTGTAAAGGTCACGAAAACGTGATCGACTTCTAGTTTCAAAATTGGAATTTAAATTTCAGATTTCCGTCGAAGTATAAATTTTTTTTAATGATCCAGTTTTCTCAACGTATGTTTGTTTTATCAAAATTTAACTCAAAAATCAAAGAGTGTATTTTTTTTAATTCGATGTTTTTTTTCGCCCATTTTGTGATCTTTTTAAATTAAGATCAACTCTCGAGGGGAGGGGTGTTTGTCGCTATACAAGAAAAATCAGTTTTTTTTGGTTGCGTCGATAAGAAATGAATATTAAATGATTTCAGACACTTATACACGCAAGAAATTTCTAATTGTGCAGATCCAATAACAAAACTGATCTGTGTGAACTCAGTCCACCTCAACTAAAATTAATCGCTCTCCTAAATTAAACTTAAAATGCAGCGTAAAAATAGCGTGACTTAGTTTTTAAGTAGCTTAAAATGTTCAAGATTACCAAAAAACAACAAAAGTTGCCTGCTAATTGCGTTTCGATACGTTAATTGCGTGCTAATTGCGTTTGATTTTTGGTCAATTTTATCTAATAAGATTCGATCACAATTTTCGTGAAATTTAATCAGCTGTAATATGCTATTTTTTTATTTGAGCAAACAACTAATATAGTTTCAGTTCACTATTTTTTAAACCTGATTAGCCTTAATTAGTTTTCAAACATAAGCTTTTTTGCTGCATAGCACTATAGGGTTTTAGCAATTGCAATTTAATAGTATGTGTTTTCATTCGTTTTTTTTGGCGACTAGTGTTTGAAGAGCAATGCTCTACGGTGCAATTGTGCTAAGAGACGGGTCTTTAGACGCTGGTTTCTTTAACGCTGGGTCTTTCTTGATTTCGTATTTTAAGAGTCGATGAACGTAGTTCAGACTCTTATATAGGTGCTGATGATTTTTTTCCTGCAAAAGTTTAAATATTTGTACAGGTTTAAATTTTACTTTTTCGCGGATTGACTCATGATTTTTTTTAAAGTTCAGTTCATTTACTTTGTTTGAAAAAGCAAACTCCATTATCGAACAGCAAAAGTGTATAGGTCACGAAAAACGTGATCGGCTTCTAGTTTTGAAATTTGAATATAACTTTCAGATTTCTCATTGAAATCAAACTTTTCCTTATTTATCCAGTTTTCCCGAATTGGGTTAACTCTATCACAAAAACGCCAGTCATAAATTGTTCCAGAAATTCAAAAATAGCTTGACTTTTAGTTTTTAAGTAGCTTAAAAGACTAGCAGAAGAACCAAAAATTGCCTGCTAATTGCGTTTTGATACTTTGATCAATTTTATCTCAGAAATTTGGATCAAACTTTTCATGAAATTTAATCAGCTGTAAAATGATATTTATAAGGGCTTCTATTTTTCTTGGAAATTTTAAAGTTGAGATTTTTTTTTCAAAAAGTAGTTCATTATTTTTTTGATTTTGTTTTCGTTGACTCTTTTCCAACTGCCTGTTTTAAAACCTCCGTTTGTCATTTTTGCTTGTGTTTGCCGAAGTACAGATTGTCTGTGGAAAAAAAAACAAAATTGAAAAAAAAAAACTTCTTTAAAGTTTGAGTTATCTAGAGTTGATTTTTTGTTTATGAAGGCTATGCTTAGCTCTAGTGGCGCTCAAATAAAACAACCCATATGAGTTTAACCTGTTCAATTCAATTGAAAATTGCTTAAAAATCGAGAAAAATGCGTAACGTTTAGTTTTTAGATATATAAGTATTGAAGACTACTTTAGGACAAAAAATTATTGATTCCATTTCTGTAAATTGGACTTAGTTTATCAAAAGTTCTTAGAATTTAATCAATTTTGATATTTGTTATTACATTGCGAGAGCAAGTGTCTTGTAATCGGTAACTATACTTTTTTCCTGTAAACAAATTTTCTTACGCATTTTCAATCTGCTTTTTTGTTAAAGCTGAACAATTTCCAGGTTCCTTCCCTCGTGGCCTTAAGGTAGCGCCGTCGCAATTGCACCCTAGGGCATGGAGTTTGTTTCCCGTCCGGATTTTTTCAGTATGCTGTATGCAATTAAAAATTGCTTTCCGATAAAAATTAACTTGTTCGACCTTCGTTAGTCTACTAAGTTTTGTCGGCTTAGTTCACGGATTTTTCTTGTGCTGTAAACATTTTTCATTGTAGTTGCAGGAGGGACTTAAAACTTGAAATGTTTTTTTTCGGCTCAACTTGTATCTGCTCAAAGAGTATCGGCTTTTTTCATCTTCGTAACTTTTGTTCCGTTCCTAATTTAAAACTTAAATATCTAGCATGTTTCCCTAGAACGAACTTCTATCGAAACTTGCGAAATTATAAATTTTGATAGACCTATTTTTTCAACTTTTTCTTCGACCATGTTTTCTGATGTTTGTTGTATCGCTAGTGATGTTAGTCATACAACTGAAAAAGTATGTGATTTTTTTGAATGCCCTGAGATATATGATTTTTTGACTGCTAGTTTGAGTCCTTATTTCGAGTATACAACAACTTGAGAAAGAACAATAGTATGAATTCAATTCAAATTCATTTTCTCGAAGAAAGGCAACTCTCCATAACAAAAAGGCAAATTGAGTAAAAACCTGAATTACTTCTGGTTTCAAACTTTTCAATTTTCGAATTTCTAGCAGAATAAAAAATTATATTTCGACCCAGGTGGAACGAATTAATTTTTTTACCAGAGAGTGACCTTCATACAAGCTTCTTTAAATTTTATGAGTTTAAAGATGAAACAATTTCTTCTTCGAATCTCGAAGTTTTTTCGAAAGAAATTTTTTTTTTCGGATAGACCATGAGTTCATTGAACTTTTCCAACTGTATGTTGGGTATTTTTCAAACATCAGCTCTACTTCGGTTGCAAAAGGCTGACCGCACAATCAATCAATTGAACGAATATAAATCTAGACTTGAACCAAGCTCAAACTCAGTTTGATGTTTGATTTAGAGGGATTAAACTCGTATTAATCAAATGGCTTAAGATATAAAAAGGCGGAGCTCATTGCATCAATGCACACGAGTTTAAATTTTTAAAACGTGTGCTTTCCATGTTTAAGGAATGTCATATTTAGTTTCCAGGTATTGAAGTATGTTTGCGTTTATTTTAGGTTGCAGTGAAGATTGTGGACAAAAACAAACTGAATGCTTCCAGTTTGACCAAGGTCTGTATCAATCATAATAGTAACAAGACTTCGAAAACTTCTTGGACTAAAGGGCAAAATTCTTAATAATTTAGAAATCTTGGACGTCCTTTTTTCATTCAAACTATTTTCATTCAAATGCCTCAACGCATGATTAGGAAAAATTGTTCCATGTTGATACTTAGACGATTTTAATATCTGGTGTCAATCAGAATTTAACATAAATTGTCTTCGTATAGATCATCAAGTATGATGTGGCGTATCTCAAGTTTTCATTTAAAACAGGACATATGAATGCCCTGTCGTGTTATTTTGTGGAGTGTTGACTTTGTTTGGGGTGTTTCAGTTGCACAGAGAAGTTAAAATAATGAAAATGGTGGAGCACCCTAACATAGTGAGACTGTACGAGGTGATAGAGGAGAGGAACTTCATGTACCTCATAATGGAGTATGCTAGTGGGGGAGAGGTGTTCGACTACCTGGTGGCCCATGGCCGGATGAAGGAGAAGGAGGCCAGAGTTAAGTTCAGACAGATCGTATCCGCCATCCAGTACTGCCACGCAAAGAACATCATACACAGAGATCTCAAGGTACTCCCTATTAATTAACAATTAATGTCAGTTTATAAAACTAAAAAAAACTCTTTTTGACTCAATTTCTCACTCATTTCAACTCGTAGACATGATATCAAACAATTTTAATCAGCCCAAAAAAATACCTAATACCTCTTTTGAACGACTTTGCCAACCATTTGCCATCAACTAGACAAATATACCTGAATAACAATTTAGTTTTTAATAGTTATGTGAAGTTCTCAAGCAAGTCGCAAAGTTAATTAGTGACGGATTGCTGAGTGGTGTGGATCTGAGGTGTAAAAGAACTCCTTGTTCCAATTTCTTCTGCAGAATAACCGCAAACATAGTTCATGGGTTTCCAACTTAGAAATATCAACTTTTATTTGGACTGATTGATATTAAATAAGCATTAACGTCATGTTATAGGCTGAAAATTTGCTACTGGACCATGAAATGAATATCAAGATAGCAGATTTTGGATTCAGTAACGAGTTCTCCATTGGCACAAAATTGGACACGTTCTGTGGATCCCCTCCATATGCAGCACCAGAACTGTTTCAGGTAACTAATCGGATACATGTAAAATATGACGTCTCATGTAGTACACATCTTTTTTGCATACTCCCGCTAGTTACTATTTTTGTTATTCAGCTAAATTTTTTTTTTGTTTCTCTTGCTTGTCGCGTAAATCGTACCAGGGGAGGATCTAAGATTTTCTCGAGGGGGGGGGGGGGGGTTCGGATTTTCAAAAAAAAATTTTGTGGACCGTTTTTTTTTTAGGTTTGACCAAATTGATTTTTCGAGCTCCCCCAGAGCACAAAAAACCAGAGCACAAAAAAGACTCTGCTTTAGCCAAATTTTCTGCGCCGGAGGCAACATTTTGAAAAAACACGCTAAAAAAGACGTTTTTAGTTACATTTTTGAAAATTTTGACCAAAAAAATTGCGTTTTTTCGACGCGCGCTCCCCCCCCCCCCCCCCTCAAAATGGATATCTGAAGATAGTACAAAGAGGGACTCTTTGGGTCAGCAGGGGGTCGAATCCCTGAGAAAGGGGGCGTCCCCCCAAATCCGACCCTGAACTGTACTATTAATCAAAACCGAAGCGAAAAACTCAAAAAGCATACATAATAGTGCAACAGCGAAAGGGGTGCCTTAAGATAAACAAGTGTTTTTATCTGAATCAAAAGACATTAAAGTCATACCTCGAAAGAAGTATTTTGTGAACTTATGTTGAACATGGTGACATGTAATTAAGTTGATGTTTTCTGTTCAGGGCAAGAAGTACGATGGTCCAGAAGTGGACGTGTGGAGTCTTGGAGTGATCCTCTACACTCTAGTCTCCGGCTCCCTGCCCTTCGATGGAGGCACCCTAAAGGTATCGACTACGGATGCACTTCCTTATAGAAACATTATATGATTTTTTTCACTGAAATTGAAATTTAACTGGTACTTGAGTTGAATTGTCTGTTTAAGAGTAATGAACGTATTGAAGACTGTTATATAGAACTTAGTGCTTTTTTTCTTCAATTTGTTAGCGCTCAATTTTGATTTTTCGTAGTTCGACTTTTGATACGTTCCGTTTCTTTTTAAGTTTTATTGATTTTCATTGTTAAAAGCAAGGAAAACTACTTTATCGAACGGCTAGTGGAGAGGTCACAAAAAACGTGATCGGCTTCTACTTTCAAAAGTGGGTTTTAATAATCAGTTTTCCCACTGGAATTAAAAAATTACCTAGTGTTACAGATTTTCACAGAACTTGAATGACTTTTTTTCTTTAAAGCTCGAAGGTTGAAGTTTTTTTTTTCAAAATAGGTCAGTTTTTTCTGTTTCCTTGAGTTGATTACTCTTTTCCAACTGTCAGTTGGCTATGTTTTATTTCTTGCTACTTTAGTAGTAATTGTAACACTTGCGAAACAAAGTGCCTTGTAGTCAGGAATTAGACTTTTTCCCGTAAACAACTCTTACAAATTTTCGATTTGCTTTATTAGGGAATCTTAACAACTTCCAGGTTTCTTCGCACTTGGCCTTGTGTTAACTTCGTCGCCGTTGCACCATAAGATCCTGCTGCTTGTATTAATTCTGACTCTGCCTTGTATTATTTCGCGCATAAAAAATTCGGTATAAATCGATTTGTCGGACTTTCGTTTATCTGGTTTTGTCGGACTTTGGTTAACTAAATTTTGTCGGCTTAGTTGCTACATCACATTTTTTTTGTGCTGTAAGCGAGTATCATGGTACTTGCAAGTGTTGTTCTTTGTAGTCTCAGGGGTACTTGAAACTTTCAAAATTTCTTTTATCAAATCTTTTTCTACTCAACTTCTGTTTATAGTCTAAAATGCAAATATCCTGATTGGTTTTATGAAAATGTATGGGATTGGGTTTTTTTTGTTTTCTTTGGGAAATTTTTTCACTTGCATGAATCAATAAAAAACTGCTTACTCCTCAGTGTGCCTGCATACTCCCCTAGTCTCTTTTTACTTCCCTTTTTACTTTACCCCTCTGTCTGCAGGCTACGAAACAGTCTGTGGGGAATATTTGACCCATATTTATAATTTTTTGTTTCCCAAACTGTCATTTCAAGTCTAAGATTTTGATTTCATCGAATAAAACGGGTTTTGGAAAGCTCCCTTTCATACTGGCTGCCTTTAAATTTTTATACAAAAAGTTATGGCCCTCTAGAATAGCCAAAAATTTGATTTGTTGACCGTTTTCTTAATGTTTTTGTTTCTTTTTTCGAAAAGTAACACCTCAAACCTGAAATTGTGGGTGCAATAGAGATAAAGAGTAGTAGAAGCTGCCCTGCATAAGCGGCCAGTGACGATTTCTTTACTTAAAAAGTTATCGCCCTCGGAAAATTTCAATTTTTTTTATGTTGATCATTTTTTAAACTTTTTTAACTTTTTCAAAAATATCTGAGTTTATGGATTGAATCGAAATTACAGGTTGCGTGAATCTCTTCTGCATGAGCAGCTACATCTACTTTTTTTGCACAACAAGCTGTGATTCTCGAATTTTTTGATTTGTTGACCTTTTTTGGGCTTTTCTCTATAACTATCCTACCAAATCTGACATCAAAAGCTTAAACAAAACAAAAAGTTGTTGGATAGCCTACCTTTATAGTTGGCTACGCTATTTGTTTCTGACGAACGTCATGGCTTTCAAACAAGTATAAGCTTTGAAAACTTGAGCGTTCTTGGAAACTTTTGACTTAACTCGGAAACTACCGTGACAATTCTCAGGCCAAGTATTTAATCAAGAAATCCGGTTTTGGGAATCTGATCTTTTTAAGCGGTCACGACCTGCTTTTTGCAGAAAAATTTATGGATTTTGGAAATTTTTTGAACTTTTTGAATTTTTTTAACAACTGTCCTATCAAATCTGAGAGTAAACGTTCTGTCGAAAGAACCGTTTGCGACAATTTTTGCTGTAGACGCCGTTGCGCCTTATTTTTCTGGTAAGAGAATTGTTATAGGCTTGGGAAGTTTCCAATAGCTCAAAAACTTTCACTCCAATATCTCAATTTCTTTTCAATATCTCAGAGAAACAGTGAGTTTTTAGGCAAAGTCCAATTTTTCAAAAAAAATTTATTTCGTTGTGCCTCAGTATAAGAAATTCAGAAATATCAAACACTTTCCTGCTGCTTTAGCTGGGCACCTACTTGTCTTTTATCGAGACAACGAAATTTTTGGTTCGCCTAGTTTTTTTCATTTTCGACTTGTGTTTGTGTTGTATCGCAAGTGGTGCGAAGCTCCGCTGCGCCTGTGTTAAAAATGACAATGCATTTTTTGGCTTAAGAAAACCTACAAAGAGGCTGTTATGCATATAGTTGTCCGGTATATTGACTTTTTCTAGAAAAAAAACTGCATAAATGTATCGTGATATAAGTTATGAGATGGTTAGGCGACAATTCGAAACAAGGAACTGCCAAGAAGTCAGTATCTCCGCATGTCCAGTTGTGCTAAAATTTGAGCAGAGTGGTAATGCGCGCCTGAATCAGTTTTTTGGCTCAATCTATTGTTACGAGTTGTGGCTTCACTTATTTCGATGGCCTGGTATAATTGACGCGACCCTGAAACTTTGTTAATTCGTAACCTAATCATATGTTTGTTAAATTCATTTTAGGAATTGAGAGAACGTGTCCTACGTGGTAAGTATCGAATCCCTTTCTACATGTCAACCGACTGCGAGAACCTCCTGAAGCGTTTCCTGGTGCTGAACCCAGTCAAGAGATCCACGTTAGAACAGATAATGCAAGACAGATGGATGAACATGGGCTACGAAGACGAGACAATGAGGCCATACAATGGCCAGTCTCCCCTTCCCTTTTCCACAGAACAAATAGATCATGTCCGAGCAGAGGCCATAGCGAGTAAATTGCAGACTAATGTCACTACTGTGGAAATCAGTGTGCGAGACAGGAAGTTTGACGAGAACTATGCGTTCTACCACATACTGGGTAGAAGACCGAACGATGTAAGTCGCATTTTTTATGAGATGTTTGCGAGGCAAGATTGTAGCGGGAATATTTTAAAAATTTTCAGAGCAGAGTTTAAAGTTAAAACGCTAATTACTGATCTAGGGCTTAATAGGGCTGACAATAAAGTCAATGTAACCAGAGGAAAAACTCGCAGCATTCAAGTTTTAGACGTTTTAATTGTAGAATGCCATTGCCGTTTCATGTGCAGTCGAGCCAATCCATTTATATGTTTGTTTTGCGTTTCATGTTGGCTAGTTCCTTTTAAATTAAAAAAAATTAATTTGGCTTTGATGTTCCTGGGAGTAATTCTGTAATCGATACAAACATCATGGCACTATATAATCCTTTAGGTAAATCATATATTACATAGTCTGCATGAACTTCGTTTCATGTCTAGTTCTGTAAAATGAATTAATGGATAAAATTAAACTCGGTTTCTGTCGAACGAGATTGTCCCCGGTGTTTTGTTCTTCGCATTTGTACCCTCATTGCGTTTTCGCTATTCGCATTGTATTGTTTTGTCTATTGACTAGTTGGATACATCTGTCGACTACATGTCGCACGGAGTTGTGTCGAGTGGTATTGCCGGCACCAACACCGCCACGTCAATGCTGGGCGGGACGACCTCGGCATCAATGAAGTCTACCACTAAAACTATGCAACATCATCATCACCACCTCACGCCTCAGCCTAATTCGACCTCGGCTACGTCTAGTCACCAGCAAAACAACAGTGGAACTGCTTCAACGGCCGTGAGCCGATCGTACACAATGACTTCATCGGGCTCAGCTAAGCAACGTCGGCAAAGTGAAGGTTACAATCATCCGAAAATGACTTCACTCGTCTGTTACGTCATAGTCAATGACGTAATAAGTCGTTTTTTTGTGAGAGAAAATGAAACGTCAGTGGTCATAAAAAGGGTTGAACCGAAAGTCATAAAATATCACCTGCAGAAATGATGGGAAACGTGAAGAGCTTATTTGTTGTTCATGTTTATGTTAATGTGGACTTAATTGGTTTCATGCTTTAGTCGCAAAATGTTTCGATTGTTGCACCAGGTTGTCATTTCTGTTTCGTCGTGTCCGTTTCACCGTTGCATGTTGCTTTTTGTTTTGTATTCTTACTGTGTTGTAATGTATGTCCGGGTTTTCTTTCAGTTATTTCACATAAAAATCATCATGATATCACCTTTACTGATTTCACATTCACACTAAAGTTTATGCTTTTTGCATGAATTAAATGTGCTACTACTCCCGCGCTTTAATGACCGACTGAGATCTTGGCTTACTTGGCAATATTATGCGCAAATAGCCCCTATGTTGATAAAATCATACTTGTCAGCCAGATCAGTTAACTTTTAGACTTGGCTACCCTAAACTAATAAACACGCAGTGACTGGTCACCAATCAAAACCAGCCTAAGTTGCGAACATCCAACTCTTTTCCAGTCTTCTTTTGATTATTTTTGGTTGAAAGTTTTCTGTTGATTAAGTTAAATTGAAGACTTCGGTATCAGGATGTAAAAATAATATTAACTTGTAGGGAACTAGTTTTGATACCGTAGCACTCAAGTTTGTTGGTAATTGATAGGCGGCTCTCTTGCTCACTCCAATGGGCGGAGCACAGCCGTCATCCACATCTCTCTCCGCCTCCCACTCGAGACCGGGAGCAGCTGCTCTGAGCAGAAGGTACAGTACGGGTGGGGAGAGACCCTCCCACAGGGATAGAGATCACAGAGGACAGGTGGCCGAGGGCTCCCATGGTGCACCAAGCGCCACTGGGACCACAATCACGTCGACAAGTAACACTCTTTTCGTGTTTGATTGTTACAAGGGTAAGAGTCTGTAAGTCACCAGATTGATGGTTTTTCGATGCTTTTTACTAGCCTGCAAAAAAATATGTATTTCCCGAGTAGGAATTATGTGGACACATTAAATTGATACAAAAAACTGTTTAAAAATCTAAGTATTGAGTAAATATTGAGCGAGATAATTAGTTAAATTGGTTTTTTTCCGCGATGCCCCCCTCCCGACACGCATTTCAAATTCACCATTTTTCTAGTTGTCTTACGTGTCATTACAGCTGAATGCGTGATGTTACGATGTAACGTATGAAGAACGAATGTTCTCACAATAAATAAGTGGTCACCATGAAAATTTCATTACATTGTGACAATGCAAATATAGTTTTTCAAAAGTGAAGTTCGTGGGGGGGAGTGGAAAATTTTGTAAGTGGAAAATGGGTAATAACAGAGGCGGATTAAGAGGATGCCCCCTTCACAGGGATTCGACCCCCTCACCAATTAAAGGGCCCCCCTTGCGTATTATTTTATGATATCCATTTTCGGAGACAAACCCTTCAGTTTTCCTAAAGGAGCCTTGGGCGCCAAAATATAATAATGAATGAAAGTGCGCGCCGAAAAAAAAACTTTCCAAAAAGTGTACAAAACGCCAATTGTGAACAGTTTTTTTCTCAGAAATTTGCCTGCGACACAGAAAACTTTGTCAAAATAGGGTTTTTACAATGTTCTGGGAGCGCTCGGAAAATCAATTTGGTTGATCTACGAAAACGTTTGACAAATTTCCGAATTTTTTGAAAATCCCCCGCCCTCGAAAAAATCCTGGATCCGCCCCTGGCTATTAACCTGAGTTTTTTTGGGATTGATAACATCTATCCGAGTGGCTTGAATTTCACTGCTTCTGACTTTCTCTGTTAAATAATCATCGATTCGCTTTTTCAATTCAGCTTGAGTCATAGTATGGTAAGTGCATTCACAGTCCTTAAAATGTTTCTCTTCCTTTCTAGGTTCAAAAGTAAAAATAAGAAATTAAATGGCCAATAATGACGTTTCTTTTCTCTCTCAAATCTGCAGAAATATACTTTTTGCCCGTCTCTTAAATTCAACGAAGGGTGATATTTGATCGTATTGTGTGAAGGTACGTACGCAACACCGCGTCGACCAACTACAGCGGACACTATGGGAGGACATAGACCGACCAATCAGGAGGCAGCGTCCCACCTGGTGGCCACCACATCCACCTCATCTAAGAGGGCAGGAGGGGCCAGTGGACACATGAACACTTTGAACGAACATGGCTCGACCACCAGCTCAACAAGCAGGTATGTGTTTTATCTGTCTTAAAGAAAAAAAGATCCGTTCTCTTCTGCCAACAATATTCAAGACAGCAGTTAAGATTGCCCGTGGTAATTTTGATCTTTTTTATGAATATTTCAACTATCTAACAAAAGATACATGCTGCTAGAAAATAAATTTTTCAGATGTTGTGAGAGATATGTCACAATGACCAATGGTTCACATCAAAAAAATTACTAACAGAAAAAATTAAAATGAACCGTTAAAAAACTTGAGAAAATTGGATAAATACGATATTTACACTTGCGATGAGCTCTAACCTAACTCGCAAACAAAAGTCTTCACTTATTTGGAAATTTCACTAGCAGCTGCAGAGCATCTGTTCTCTGCTTTATTTTTGGCTAGTGTTTGGTGCATATTAAATTCCGTGGCTGAGTGGCTAGAGTGTGAGACTCTCAATATGTGGGTCGCAGATTAGAATCTCAGAATTTGCCCAATTTTTACTACTTCGAGGCTTATTTCTAATTTTTTTATTGTTCTTCTTTTATTTGGAAATTTCACTAGCAGCTGCAGAGCATCTGTTCTCTGCTTTATTTTTGGCTAGTGTTTGGTGCATATTAAATTCCGTGGCTGAGTGGCTAGAGTGTGAGACTCTCAATATGTAGGTCGCAGATTCAAATCTCAGAATTTGCCCAATTTTTACTACTTCGAGGTTTATTTCTAATTTTTTTTATTGCAATTTATAGAGCTGTTTTTTGTCGTATTCTCGCTAGTGTTGGCGAAGCTTCGCCTCTGTGTTTAAATTTTACGGCTGAATTTTTCTCCTAATTTTTTCATCGATCTATAGATCTTTCTCTGATTGAAATTTCTGTTCATAATTATTTTCGACTTTTGAAACTTGAGGATGTGCTGTCTGTCTCTTTTTTCGCTCCCATCTAATAATTTTGAAAGCTTTGCTTATACTGGTGATCCGCTTACTGTATTATTAAGAAAATTCTTTTTTTTTCTAACCTAACTCGCAAAATAAGTGTTCATTAAAAGTGTTGATTTATTGGAATTTTCACTGTAGCATTGGAAGTTGCATAGCATCTGTTCTCTGCTTTACTTATAGCTTGTGTTTGATGCCTATTAAGCATCCGTGGCTGAGTGGTTAGTGTGTAAAATTCTTAATCTCTAGGGCGCAGGTTCGAATCTCAGACGTATCTAATTCGAGGCTTTTTTCTTATTTTTGTTACTGTATTGCATAGATCTGTTTTTTGTCGTTATTCTCGCTAGTGTTTGCGAAGCCAAGCTTCGCCTCTGTGTTATAAATAAGCCAGTTTTTTTTCACTTTATTTTTGTTCTGTGCAATTATTGGTTTTTCCTTTTGCAGCAGAAGGAGCCCAATATCTTTAATGCAAAATCGCAATTCTTACTACTTTATTTTTTCTTCACTTTAACATGCTATATAATAACTTCACTATTGAGGCACTTTAATGAATCTTGGAAACCTATAAATGCTTATGTGAAATGTAATAATGGGACATGTAATTTACCATAAATTGTCTTGTATCCAGTTTTTTTAGTTCATTTTATTCGGATCGGTGAAGCGTGTTCTACAATTCAAGACACAGCAATTGAAAAAGAAGAATCGCAAAAAAAATTATGTTTTATTAAGTTTGTGAATGATATAATTTTTTCGAATAAGTCGTACTTCAGTTTTTTCGTTTTTGCTTTCATATTACACTCGTGTTAGATTTTTGGTCTTTGTTTTTTGCGAAAATTTTTAGACATTAACTTATTGGTAGTAATATTCTTCGATGGGATGTTTTTTTGTTCTGAAGTTTCGGGAAAAAGTTTCAAAAAAATTTGGTCTGGATATTTTCGTTTTTGGAGAAATGAGGTTAAGTTGCAATAAAGAATCGAAAAGCAAAAGTGTAAAAGTCACGAAAAACGTGATCGGCTTCTTATTTCACATTTGGATTTAAATTTTCATATTTCTTAGCCAAACAAAAAAGTTTACCTATTGATCCAGTTTTTCAAATTGAGTGATCATAATTTGTTCTTGAAATTCAAAGACCTTTAAGGTCATTTTTGTTTTTAACTTTGAAAATTTTTTGTTTTCTTGCGTTTATTGATTCTTCTCCAACTGTCTGTTGGCTATGTTCAAGAGTCTTGATTGTAGGGAATACACTTATATAGTTCTTGGCGATTTTTTCTGTAAAAAGTTCTATTTTTTGTTCACGCACAAATTTGATTTTTCGCAGTTTGACTTCTGATTTCTTTCTAAGTTCAGATCAATTTCCTTGTAAAAAATGAAGGCAAACTGCACTATTGAAAAGCAAAAGTGTAAATGTCTCGAAAAACCCAGAGGAATAATTCCCAGCGGAATAAGAAAATTTACCTATTGATCTAGTTTTCTCAAATCGGGTTACATTTATCAAATAATAAATTGCTCTTGGAATTCGGAGAGCTTTAAGGCCATATTTTTAAGGCCATATTCTACGTTGATGAACGTAGCTCAGTCTCTTATCTAGGTCGTGATGATTTTTTTTCAGGAAAAGTCTTAAGATTTGTTTCAGGCTCAAATTGGGTTAATTTTAAATTAGTGTCAATCATGAATTATTCTAGAAATTCGAAACTGAAATTTTTTCAAATAATTAAGTTTTTTTTCTGTTTTCTTGCGTTCATTGACTCTTTTTCAACTTTCTGTTTGTTTTTTCTTTGACTGCCACAATTTTTTTGTTCTTCTTTGCGTTCATTTGTTCTTTTCCTGCTGTCTGTTGACTATGTTTTTTTTGTGCCATCACATTATGTCTGTTTTGTAAGCCTGGGCTAATTGTTTATTTTGGCAGGCGCTTAGTGTGCTGGAAATATTTCCATGTCAGTTTCAAAAGTAATTTTTTACGATTATTCTTTTTCTGTAACCCAAGTAGTGCTAAGCTCCGCTTCTTCTGTGTCGAAAAAACGTCCTAAACTTCAAAGAACTGTAAGGTCGTATTTTTCTGTAAAAATTGTTAGTACAAATCTGTAATTTTTCTGATTTTCAGCGTTAATGTATACTTTTTCAACTGCCTGTTGGCTATAATTGAGACCTTCGAATCAGCAGTGAAAGCCGTTGTAGATAATTCGTGGTGGTTTGAGCTTGTCTTCGACTTCTGTGTAACTATTGAGATGTGTGTTTTTTCCTGTGTTAGGTACATGCAGAGTGGGGTGGACGGGGTAAACAGCAGTGCAAACAGTGCTAGCAGCAATCGACATGAAGCTACCAACAACCAGTCCAACACCACCAGCAGAAGCATCGCCTCCTCCGGCTACGGATCATCCGGCATCCGCGAGAGGGGAGTCAACAACAGTTCGGGTGGAGCTAATACGCCTCACAATCAGAGTCAGAACGCACCACATCAGGTGAGAGCGTATTGCTAGCAGATGATTTTCACCTTAGTAAAGTTTAGGGAAAGGTTTTTTTAATTGTTGACTTAGAATTTTAAGCAACAATTAGGATATGGTGTTATTAGGATGTGCGAGTGTCGTCTACACTGACTCGAAGACAGACAGTGGGTCCCAGTCCTTCCCCCCACGCGGCCATCCAGTCTAGTGGGGTCAGTCCAGCCACAGGCACCACCAACCTCACCCCCATCGTCAACGGCACTCAACACATGAACATACACGAACACAGGTCAGCATAACACATCACAGCTGTTAATATCGTTTCCTTGATTTGAGATTGCAAATGTATGCAATGAGAGTATAATACCTTCATTTGAGGCCGTAGCTTCGGAGTATTGATAATGTTACTAGAGAGACTTCTGATAAAAGCTCAAATGAAGTGAAACATGGAGGTTTTTAGCTTTTGATTTCGATGTGATGGTTAGATAGGAGTTTTAGTAGTTAACTGCTCCTTTTCGATTATGAAAATAATTCACCATGAAGCAGTTTTTCCTTAGATCGTTTCTTTAGCCATCCAAGCTAAGCTCTCTTCTCTCTGCATCTGAAGTTTGGCCAAATAAAACTTGTTAAGTCATGTAAACACCTGCTGATAAGCTCTCGTTTTTGAGCAGAAGGGTCCGTGTGTACCGGAAACCACCAGTAACGCAAACGCAAGTACCGGTTACTGTAACTGCAACAGCCAAAGCAACAACCTCTAGATCATCAGTGGTCAAAACTGTATGGCCACGCAAAGCCAACTTTTCAAACAGCTCAGTGTATCATGGTCGAACTAGGTTTGTTCACGTGTTTTTAACGGTCATCGATCAACCTCTGAAAGCTCATCAGATCCAATCGCAACTCATAACTGCCCGGATAAAACCGAAGTAATTTAAACGCATATTTGAATGAACTATTTCCAACGATAAATAACAAATTGAACTATACTTGTTCGCCCAAACTTAAGGTTTTGCAAGGGCGAATTTTTGATGAAAAAGGCAAATGTAAAGGTTCTGACAATGATTTTGAAGATTTATGTTATTTGCAATGGAGTAACTTTTATGCTATTTGAGCAGTCGGTGGTGTCAGATATGCTTGATTTTATCCCTACTGCCAGAAGACTAAAGAAAAATGCTGTCTTCATAAAGGACAATTTAAACGGATTTAAGTGTGCTTCATTTTTATATGGAAGTTTGCAAGTTTCAAGCTCTTTCGGTCATTTGAAGGTCTTTTATTTTGAGCTTGAGTCTAATTAAATCAAAGGAATTGTTTTTAAATTCATGATTGTATTCATAAGAGCATTCGCAGAGGCCAGATATACAATATCCATGTCGCTTTTTGTCATTTTAATTGGAAATATATAACACTACTTCGCTGAACAAAAATGAGCATATTTAACGGGTGCCGGACATCAAGCCGACGGGACTTCAAGCCGAATCGTAAAATTAGGGACTTCAAGCCGAAAATTTTCTCTCCAAGTCATGAAATAAGATTAATTTGAAAATTTTTTCGAACAGTTTCTCAATTTCATGATCTTTATTCGGTAATTATTAGCGTTTTCATTAAATTTAAGCCTCCAAATGATGTTTTGGAAAGTTGAAAAATAAAACACGGTTGAAGGTAATTTTCTTGTCTATAATTTATGCATTTCAAAAACCGGCTGATATTATTAACGGATGCCAATCCCAAGTGATTCATTGTCATAAATAACGCTAATTATGGAGTAAAATAGCCTATGCTTTTGACAAGCAACGTTTTACAGATGAGAAAATAATTATTTGAGGTGCTTGTAAAGTTTAATTTTCGGCCTGAAGTCCCTTCGGCTTGAAGTCCCGTCGGCTTGTTGTCCTAGACCCATATTTAACACCTTACAATCATGCATATGAATTTCAATACCACTGGGATCAAGAAATCATGCAAACTTTCTATGTGATTAAGTAAAAAACATAATCAAAATTAAAGTTTGAGGAACGCCGGGTCGGCAATTGTTATCAGTGAACACAATCTCAGTTCAAGTGTCCTAAAACTAGCCAGAGGTACTCAATTTTTTAAAAGTATATATAAATATGAGAGTAACCTTTTTCTTGGTCATAATTGGATCAAATTACCTGCGACCTAGAAGAATGTTAACGTGAATCTGATTGCAGCTCGGTGGGAGGTCATAACTCAGTGACTGTGACCAGTAGTGGTGCTCCGCCCGGCAGATCATCTGTGATGGTGACGTCATCAACATCCTCCTCGGGCGACCCACACTCAGGCTACTCGAAGATCACGACCCCACGGCACGGAGAGCGAGTGGCCGCAACCACGAACAACGGCGGTGCAGGCATCGGAGGACCAAACTCGCCCGCTGGGGGATTGCAGCCGTCGAGGATTCCGACCAGCTCCAATATGAACAACCAGTGAGTATTGTTTCATTTAAACTGATTTCGGTTTTATCTCAATTCTTTTAAGTTACAGACAAAGTTGACTTAAAAATACGCTGATAATTTAGCTGGAGCTCTCAAGATTTAGACAAGTGAATTACAAGGACCTGTTTTTATTTATATAACTAGCTCAGATGCTGATAGCATTGTTTTCGAACAAAATTGGTAATCTGATTAATATTTTTTGATTAAAAGTTTTTGGAAATTAGATTAACAGTTGTTGTTGTTCTTATTACTAGCGGCTTCGAAGAGTGGATGGCAACATTGCCTTTGCCTATTAGAGGGTAAATTTATTCACCAGAGCCGAAAAGCAGCAATAATGGACGTAGACCCCAGAGCCAAATTTTAAATGTGAAAAATGGGCAAGCATGGCAATAATTTAATTGGGACTTATTTGTTTGCAAACATGTATGGCTATATTCAAATCGGAATGAAATAATGGCAGTCAAGAATGGTATGTACACAAAGCAATCATGCACGTTTTGGGGTATGGTATGGTAACATCATCTGATGCCTGCAATGTAAAAGAAAAATCTGGTTTTGCATATGTTTGATGAATGTTCATTTTTGTCTCTGGGGTCTCATCAAATCAGGAACAGTTGAGAGTCTTTTACAGCCTGGCCAAGTCATGCTGTGCTGCTTTGAATGAAATAAAGTGTCGTCCATTTTATTTCACTACATGTGACGCTTCAATCTGTTTGATTCAATTTAGAGTCTATCTCATTTATAGTTTTAATACATGCTGCAATATACATGTATTCGGCCGTTGCGATGTGTTTTGATTTCATTTTTGATGCGCTGCTTGTATGTGTGATTGTGTGGCCACGATAATAAGAATATCGGTAAGGCTTGATTTTTGAAAGAAAAATGTGGGCCCTGTCAGTAGGAAAATGACACTATTTTCAAGTGTTGTTGAACGAAATTAATTAGTTAAGATTTTTCTAGTAAGTATTATTGATCTGTCAATAAAAAAGTGTCAATCTATTTAGGTTTTTTGCACTTTTTCAGGAAAGTCCTAAGTTTGATCGAGCTCAAATTCGGTTCGGTTTTATGAAAAAGTGCAATATTTAAATATTCACACTTAATAGTTTTTCAAGTTGAAAACTGCAAATTTTTCAAAACAAGCAATAATTTTTCTTTGTTTTCATCAATTTTATTGTCTGTTGGCTATAGGTTTTTCAAGTGATAGTAAAATTTTTGAAACTTGTTCAGGCTCAAACTTACTTTTTTTGCGGTTTGACTTCTGATTTTTTTTCAAAATTTCAGTTCACTTCCTTTGTTTACTCTTGCGAAGCGAGTGTATTAGTATGAACCTTCTTTTTGTTCCAATCTAAGTCAAAAATATTGGTGCCACTTTTGGGGCACCTTAACAGCTTTTTCATAGTACGGGCTTTGATGTTCGAATAGTAATAAATTAATACAGTTGATGCATTTTAAATTCATCAAATGAACCGAAAAAAAAGTGATTTGTTTCAAACAACATAACAATAATGAAAACTCAAATTCAGAAATTTTCGGTTTTATGTTTTGCGGTTTGTTACATGTAAAGCTAGTGTGGATGCCCTCAGTGTGTTATAATCCAAATTATTACTTGCAAAATAGAGTCTATTTGTATTTGGTGCCACTTTTTCTGAATGAGATTGGCAATTTATTAGCATATGTAGGCGTTTTATTCGCTACTAGTGTTTGTCGGTTGTTAAGCTTGAGTGGCTGAGTGGATAGTGCGTGAGACTCAAAATATCTTGATTGCAGTAGGTCGCAGATCGAATCGTAGACTTAGCCGAGCTTTTGCTAATTCAAGGCTTTTTTCTTTTTGCACTTTCTAGAGCTGCTTTTTGGCCGTATTCTGGCAAGTGTTTGCGAAGCGCAGCGTCGCTTCTGTTTAAAAGGAAGGCAAACTTCAGTATCTATCAGCAAAAGTGTAAAGGTCACGAAAAGCTTGGTCGACTTTTAATTTCGACAATGGATTGTAGTTTTCCGATTTCCCAGCGAATTAAAGTATTTGCTCATTTTTCTAGTTTTGTCAAATTGGGTTGATCTTGTGAACAAAAGCCAATTATAATTTTTTTTAGAATTTCAAAGAGCTTTAAGGGCATCTTTTTCTTTGAATTTTTAAGTTGAAAATTTTTATTTCAATTTGGAAATTTAGAGAAAACAAGTCAGTATTTTTTCCTGTTTACTTGCGTTCATTGACTCTTGTCTAACTGTCTGATGTCTATGCTTCTCAGTTATGTTTGTTCCAAAAAGCTTGTAAGATTTCAAGTGTGATGTTATACTAAAGTCCTACTTATCACGAGTCTAAGTTCAAAAAATATCTAAAAGTTTTCTCAATTACGAGAGCAACTGGTCTGATTTTTTCCGTTGTTCAAAATAAATGACACCAAATTTTTCTGACTGACAAGATGAGAGATTGAAATGTCAGTTTATGCAGCTTTTATTTCAGTTAAGATATTTTCACTTCTTTTGTGGCAGAATCTGAACTCAATTCCCGTATCCTGGAAAGTAGGACAATCTCTGTTTTGCCTTTTATCTAATAGTGTTGTAGTTCTAACCTATCTTTTCTCTTATCGTGTATGCGTTGTAAGTGTGCAGATTTGTTAGAGATTTATCAAATTTAACAGTACCGTTTTGTTTGAGTTTTCCAGTTTTCAGTTGTATTTTATCGTATTTAGCGAGTTGAATTACTTAAGACTAGCAAATAGTTGTCTTCATATATTTTTGTGCCGTAAAACTCATTACACGAGCGCAGTATATTGTGATAGTACGATGCAACTTTTTTCCGACCTAATTCGCAAAAAAAAGCTTGATTTAGTAGAATGCATTAGCACTCTAATAATGTGCTTCGAAATTTGATTAGTATTAAGTTAACTAAATTGCTTTCTAAATTCGTCAGTTCCAAATTATTTCATGGAAGATTTGAGTTTTTGTGCATTTAAAAGCTCCCGAATCTTTGCTGCTCTCTTGCTGCGTTTGCGAAGTTCTAATGTCGCTTCTCTGTGAATTTTTGCGTAAAAAGTAGCGCGAATCTTGACTTTTTAAATTTTGCTGTCGCTCTATTTTCGCGTTTTAAATTTTAGTGAGCTAAATGATTTGTTGAAACTCATTTTGCGATCACGCCACGAATTTAAGAGAGGAAACAACTATGTTGTTGGCTGTTTTTTCGCTCTGTTTTAGGTACCTCAAGGAAAGTTAAAGGAGTTAAGTCTGATACCATTATAAAGGCTTATTAGCCGTAAAGTGATTTCTAAAAAAGTTGTTTCAGTGCTGAGAAAAATTGGATAACGTTTTTGCCGATTTTCAGTCCTATTTATACTGAAAGTTGAACTTGTTTTTTATTCTAAAGAATATTTAAGGCTGTTTTGACTATAATCACTTCATTTTTTCCAAATTGTTTTTTTAGCATTCTTTTTTGAAAAAAGACTTCCTTATTTTTTTCTCTCAATACCTTGTAATGCAATCTTTGAAATGTATCGCTAGTCGTTTTATGCTGCGCAATTTAGCTCCGAAATATTTTGTAGCTTGAATATATTTTATGTCTACAGTTTCGCTTTCAGCGTAACGAGGGTCTACCTAAGATGTTTCGCCTTAGATACCGCTTGGTCATTGATTCTCAATGCTTGTTATGGCTGTTTACGAACATAGTCCGAGACAAAGGTATGAATTTTTTGTAGATGAGTTTATTTTCGATTTTTCAAGGTATTTTTTCAGCTTAATCGTATTGAATCTTTCCTTGAATACTGGTAATGCAATGTTTTAATTGCATCGCAATTGTTTCGAAGCTCCGCGTCGATTTTGTGTGCAGATTTATAACCAGCTGAATCCTCCACCAGCGCCAGGAAAAATATAGAAATAATTTGAGGCGCTCAACTAGATCGTCATATCTTGTTATCGATCCCCTGCTATGGCAATTATGTGTGTGAAGGCGAGCTCTCACTTGAACTCGAGCTTCAGCTCTACCTCAAACTGACCAATTTCAGCTGCAATAGTGGTACCTGAAAATTCTAGACGCAAAGAACGGCCTTGAATCGAAAAACAAAACAGATCTTCGCTCAACAAAATATATCAGTCTAGAATGTGGGCAAATAAGAGAAACTGACTATGCTTAGACATGCTGGATAGCCTTCCATAGATCCTCTGCCTGGAATGGCAGAAATCACAACTAAAATTTTTGATAAGTTTCTTTTATTTTTAATTGCTGTACTTAAATTGTGGTCTGACATTCTGTGCTCTCTCTCCAGCAAGAGGCTGTGCTTGTTTCGGAGTGGTTTTTGATGTTTTTTTTCTCAGCTCGTTTTTCAAAGAGGAGCCAATAATGAACTCAATGAGATCTTGAGTGGAAATTTTCGGAGAAAAACTATCTAGTTTTTGCATTTCGAAAATGAATTCCTCGAAAAAATCAATCCCATTGGAGTACAAATTTCTGGTTTGCTATTCTCGATGAGCGACGTGTCAATGAATGAAGTGATTATTCACTGATTTAGATGGTGTTTTTATAAATTTAATATTTGACTTAAGTTGCGGTTTTTTTATCGAGTTTTGGTAATTTTTGCAAAGGCTAGCGAGGAGATAATTCGTTTTTGTTTTCAAAACAACCCGATGTCGTATCTTATGAACACTAGGAGCAAATTGTACTCTGTGTATTAATGCATCACGCAATGAACATTGAGAATTAACAATTGTCAGTTTTCTTGCTCCAACTCTGATTCTGTCCGAAGCAAATTCTGCGCGCACATGAAAACTTAATTCACCATCACGCTTTTCTAAAACATGTCCATTTCAGCTTACCTGTGAACTTGTTTAAATGTTTCTGCTGCTCAAGAAGGAGAGTATAATTAGTAGGGTAGGAATAGAAGGTTCTGGTTTTCATCTTATGTGACAAAATGCGCTAGTCGAAGTATAAACTACTGTTTGAGTGTAAAGTTTTCTGAAGGACTCAACAAGTAGATACCATTAGATGTCGATTGCTAAGTCGTTGTTAAGTATTATTAGCAAATGTTTTGCAGGAGGCCGGGCTCAATAGCAGCACCAACTGCTGCTGGAACAGGTGCTATGGGTGGTCATGGACACGCAGCTAGCAACCACTCCAACACATCTGTCAACAGCACAAGCGGTGGAGGAGGATCGGGAGCGACCGCCACCTCCAATCTCAGATGGCAGACTACAGCCTCCCCTCACCTGTCTAGGAACACACCCGGCAGATCGACAATCAGCGGGGCCTCTTTGAGGTCCACAGAGCACAGGATGATGGTGAACACTCCACATCAGCACCAAAATGTAGACATGTCTAGCTCCACGTTAGGACAGCCCCATCACAGGTAGACAAATCATAAATAAAGTTTCTCGAATCAGAGCGTGATTTAATTTTATGATATTTGGGATATTCTACTGTCATGTTTTTATTATTGATTGTTGAGCGGAATTTTTTGAAATTTCAACTGTGACGCTATCATATTTGAAATGAAAGATAATATATCTATGTATTGTGTGGGGTATTTAGGTCAACAGCTGGGGGTCCAGGATACAACAGTGCAACCTCGGCCACCAACAGTCCCCTCACCCGATCGGCCACTCAGCAGAGCAACCTGCTACACACCTCCTCATCCCCCAGTGCCTCCCCCTCCACTGGCAACAACATCAACCAACACCCCCACCAACTACAACAACAGCAGCACAGTCCCCATCACGAACACCACTCCCACACACCAGGCAGTCAGACTGGATTCAATCGCAACCACCCCACCCAACAGTCACTCATCGGCCGTATCTCCACCACCTTCAAGCGCAGGTAAACAGAACAGTAGTTTTTGAATGATTAAACAATCGACACCACAGTAGATAACACCAAACAATCACATCTAACAATCAAACACCTGTGCGTTTGTCTTTTAATTGTATGGTTTTGAATTTAATTGGAAACGAATTTGAACTAATTATATGAAAATTCATCCTGGTTAAATTTCGTAATTTTAAAAGCAAGTTCTTCGTTTTTGGGTTTGATAAACGTGTTAATATTGAAATTTGAATTTGAAATGAAAAGCAGGGAATGGTATGAAACCCATATCCACTAATAAGTGACCTGATCTCACAATATTCTAAACAGATTTAGATTAGGACCAACCTAGTGTGTCGACAAAACCTAATGTTAGCTCAAATATTATCATAACTATATGTTACTAAGTCAATCATGAACGGCTTTGTGTCAAATTACCAGTTTAACTAGTGTAATGTTTTTGCTCGGAGTGGCGATCAGTTGGTTTTATTTTATATACGGGGCTGTGTTTGCGCAGTTCTGAGTTGTAGCGTGTTCTTGTTTGTAGTGCATCGGAAGGCAAAGGTGCACGTAGAATAAATTACTCGGCCACTCTCAAGACCGCTGCTGTCTACGGAGGTGGCGCGGGAGGCGCTCCGGCAGGGTCCAGAGAGTCAAACATTTTTAACCCCTATCTGTCCCCCATAGGCTCAAACGCAGCCTTTCCCACTAATAACAACCCGACAAGTAGTAATAGTAACAATACCGCCCATGCTGCAAATTATCCAATTCATCCTCCCGTCTCCTTGAATACGACAAACATAGCTCATAACGAGATCGTCGGAAAGCGAAGATTGTCGAAGGATGTCGTCGATGAAAGTGATAGTGTAGTGCCTAGTCATAACCAATCAGCAGTCATGCCGCCCGCCAATTCGAACAACAGTATTTTGTAAGTAGAATGAAAAGAATAGAGGAGAGGGCTAACAACAGAACTGCTAACATGAGATTGATTTGAACCAGGAGTCCTGTCATATGGATGGAATCTCGGGACTTGTTTTCTACTTTCATTTTTCTCTATCTCAACTTCGACTCATATGTATCTGTCTGTCATATTATCTGCTCGGAGGAGGCTTTTGTTGTTGTGTTTTTTTAAGTAACCTATTTGAAACAGCTGTCAATTTGATTCGATAATGAGGAAACGATAATCTGAATAAAACTTCGAAATTGATATGAAACGAAGGTAAACAGTAGGTAAACATATTGGATACCACGAATAAAGTTTCATTAGTTCATATGAGGCCAAAGTTGATCATGATTTCATCCTATGTACCGAAATCGAAAATGTTTTTAGACTTATGAACCCCGTCTGATTGACGTTTTAGCATGAACATGTTCACGCCTACTATATATGTCCATGCTGAAAAACCGCAAGGATCGGCCGTGAACAAAAGCACTATGAGTGCAGTCAATGGTTCCAACAATTTTGCGCATAGAGACGCAAGCATTTCATCACTAAGTAGTTGTTACAGTACGCCACCTGTTCCAAGTAAAAACCACCAGAGCATCAACACAATACAAAGCTTTAACATGAATCATCGCAATAGTTTGAACTACGAGCGTTCAGCCAACTACAATTTCTGCTATTACGGGTACTCGCCGTGCCCATCGAGTCTAGCTAGTGCTGCCACAGGTATCGAAGAGTCAATCAGTGAGTAAGTGCACTCACCTACCGCTGTTAGGTGACGGATCACAAACACCACTCGAGAATCATCTCAAATATCATTTCAAGTACATTGAAAAAATGAATCATAAGTTCCATTGCGAATCAATTAATCACTGAATATGTACAAATTATGTAGATAGAGGGAATACATCACTTGTTAGCATTCAGGTCACTGAGGCGCGCTTAAGTTGTGCGATATCTCAGAGCGAAATCGATTTTGTGTGACAAGTGTAATAGTTCTATCCGAGCATCATACTGGTAACTAGTTATGTCTCACATTTGGTGAGCTAGTTAAATTTAACATACTAGGGCGTGGTTTTTTAAGTACCTGTTCAAGTTTTTCGTTGTCGGATCAACATTTCCTTGTCGGACGATTAAGCTTGAGTTAGGGCTGAGACTCTTGGGTTGATATTTTGCTGCAATCGAACCCCTCTCGAAACGAAAAAATTAGAGTTCCACCGGGTATTGATTTTCGAATAGGCGGAGCTGTCGGAGCAATAATTTGAATTAGCCGAAAAGTGTTTACATGATTTTCAATGAAACCAAGATGTCTGTGAATTGTTTTCTTTGTGTGCTCACTAAATACTGACTTCACGCAGCACTTCAACTTCGCGGCTTTCGTCTCGCTTCAAGTTTTCCTCCGGCGGGGGAGGAGGGGATAAACATTCCCGACACCACCCCGCTTCCGACCAGATATCTCTGGGAGGGGGTGATGAGAACATCCCCATAAACAGGTACTAAGCACCTACCGCCACGAACCGTTTTTGTTGCGTATGTAAATTATTAGTATTAGAAACGTGAATTTGGAATTAAAGCTACGGTTGGCGATTCGCAATTTGTTAGCAATAGATTAGGTTGATGTTAGATTGAAACTAAAGTGAAAGTGGGTATTTTTCACTTTGATTGTGTTGTTCGCTTGGTCTGATCGAGATAATGAGACACTTGAGGCTGGCGAAAAATTCTGAATGAAGGGCGATGTGCATGTTAGATGTTACCCACCTGTGATATTTTAAGTTACCGCTAAAAATAGAATCATTCTCTTGCTCAACTCACGTACCTGCGTTTCAATATTTCATTTCAGATATCCTTACCATTTAGTTTGCATTTCGTTGTGTTTTCATGATTAACATTAATATATCTTTCATTCCGATTAACATTATTACAATTGATGCACTGCAACCCGCAACTTTAATTTGAATAACCCAAATTCTCCTGTTAGAACTAATTGCTCAGCAATATAAAAGCTAGAGTAGTAGGCTAAAGAAATTCAAAAAGCTAGATGCATTTGTGCACAAGCGAAGCGTAGTGTATTATTACGAAGATTTTTTTCTAACCTAAGTCGCAATTAGAAGTGCTCATTTGGTGGCACGTTTGATATAGCAAGTATCATCATGGTAGTTGCAAGTGTTGCTCATTTAGTTTCAGGGGGATTTTTAAAGTTTTTCATAGAAATTTTTATCGGCTCAACTGGTGTCTGCTCAAAGATTGTGCTTTAATTCCGCTTCATAAGTTTTGTTCCGTTGTGAAATTAAAATTCAATTGTCTTGTTCGGGGTTTTTGCTAGAATTCTGGTTTGATAAAAACAGGTGTTATGAAAATGTTTGGGATTGGGTTTTTATATTTCATTTTTATACGCCTACTCCCTTGTCTGCTCACATACTCTCCTAATCTCTTTTTACCATGCCCCTCGGTCGACAGCCTTCGAAAAACTCAAAGGGGATTATTTGACCCATTGTTTTTTTCAATTTTCTAAAAAAATTCTTGAGTTTTTGGGTTCAATGAATAGAACGGATTTGAAAAGCTCCCCTGCATAAACTGCTACACCCCAATTTTTAAACACAAAAAGTTATGACCCTCGAAGGAGTCAAATTTTTGGCCGTTTATTCTTAACTTTTCTCGAAAACCAACCTCTCAAATCTGTTTTTAGGTGCAACCGAAGTTACAGGTTGCCTGAATATTTTGCTACGCCCAATTTTTTTTTGAAAAAAAAACCTATGATTGTCAAACTTTTGATTTGTTGACCGCTTTGTAGATTTTTCTCTAATTATCCTGCCAAATCTGACATCATAGGTTTAATTAAAACTAAAGGTTGTTGAAAGCCTTCATTTATAATTAGCTACGTCCAATTTCTTTCTGTCAAACGTTATGGCTTTCCAACAAGTCGAAGTTTCTAACCTTGACCATTTTTTGGAAATTTTTGATTTTACTCGAAAGCTACCTTTTATCCGGCCAATTCTCACTTTAATTTTGATTTTAGAAACCCGGTTTTAAAAATCTTGGTTAATTTAGCGGCCACGACCTACTTTTTGCAGAAAAAGCTTATAGATTTCGGAAAGTCAAGTTTTTGAATTTGACCGTTTTTTAGAAACTTTTTGAATTTTCTTGTAAACAACCTTATCAAATCTGAGATGAAAAGTTCAATCGAAAGAACTATTTGCGAGAACTTTTCCTGCGGAAGCTCCTATATTTTTTGGAAGAGAAATTTAATGTCCACGGGAAAATTCCCGTTTCTCAAAAATTTTCGAAATTACGCATTGTGTCCAGCATCAGTATAACAAATTCAAAAAGCAAACAGGTACCTCCCGCTTCAGCTGTGCCCCTAGTTCTCTTTCGTCGAAACATAGAAAATATTGGTTCGCCCATTTTTTTCAAAATTTTTTATGTTTTTATGTTTGGGCAAATTTTTCGCACGTAGTGCAAGCTCCACATCGCCTCTGTGCTCGGAATTAAGTTTTAAGAAACTTTTGTCTCTGTATGCGAAGCGCAAACCTGGCCTTTTTTGTAATATGGGTTAAATCAATGAGGATGGGAATTTGATTTCTGATAGAACTTATCCAGTTTCTTTTGGTTTTTGTTTGAAATAGTTTTTTTGCCATAATTTAAGCAGCAGGTTGAGGCTGATTCATTTTATTTAATTAATATACAAATCTAGCGTTTTTATATTAAGAGTCGATGACCGTAATTCAGATTCTTATATAGGTCGTGATGGTTTTTTTTCTGGAAAAGTCTCAGGCTCAAATTTGACAGCTCGTAGTTTGACTCTTGATATCTTTTTAAGTTCGGTTCACTTCTCTCGTTAAAAGGAAGGCAAACTCCGATATCGCACAGCAAAAGTGTAAAGGTCACAAAAAATGTGATCGACTTTCATTATCAAAAATGGAATTTTTAAATTTCAGATTTCCCAGCGATATATAAAATTGATATATTGATCATGTTTTCTCAAATTGGGTTGATTTTATCTAAAAAGTGTCAATCTGAAATTGTTTTAGAAAATCGAAGAGCTTTAATGCGATCTATATTTTTTTCGATAGTTGAAATTTTTCCGAATAAATAAGCCATCATTTTTTGTGGTTACTTACGTTCATTGACTCTTCTCCAACAATTTGTTGCTTTTTTCCCTTTTTAATTTTCGACACTTGTTTCAAATTTCTGTTAGTTAGATTTGTTTTCATTGAAAATTTTTGTTGAGTTTCCTTTTTTTTGAAAGATGATTTTTAATAAGTTTTTTTTTCTGTTTACTCGCGTTCATTGACTCTTTTCCAACAGTCTGTTGGCTATAATCTTGAAGTATAAACGGTGGAATCGGGAAGCTTTTGTGGGCAGACTCTTTGTTGATTTAATGCCATTTTTAAGCATCTTATTAAATGCTTTATGACAAGTGGTGAGAAACTCAGCTTCGCCTTTCTGAGACCACTTTTTTCTGTCATATAGGGTTGCAGGCTTCTTCAAACTATGTACCAATGTCTATTCAACCTGTTGTCTTCAAATTCGTTCTCCTGATGATGTTTTGCTGTAATGTGTTGTTGTTTCAAGTGATTCTCATTGCAGAGACGAGACCGCATCCCTCACTGGGGGAGGCGACAGGGGCCAAGGAGGGGCCCCTGGAACTGTGAATAACCTGAAGCCCAGGTCACTACGCTTCACATGGAGCATGAAAACTACATCGGCCATGGAGCCGACACAGATGATGCAGGAGATATACAAGGTGTTGATTGCACACAATGTACAGGTGAGTTCAATCTGTGTCATTTTGTACTCTGAAAGCCGTATATGGTCGATTTCTTTTTGAATGATAGGGTATAATTATTGAGGGTCCGATTGAGGCAATCAAATCAAAATAATATTGGAGACATTCAGTTGACCTGGAGTTAAATTGTTTCTATTGAAATCGAACATCTAAAATTTATCAACTTTTGTGAGGGAAGTCGTTTTTTTTTCTCAATAAATTGTGTGTACTTACAGGTCGAGTGCAGAGAGAGGTTCCTCTACTATTGCACATACGCAGGAGGATGCAATGCAGATGGCAGTGACTCAGACGAGAGCAAAATCACGTGGGAAATGGAGGTGTGCAAACTACCCCGACTCTCCCTCAACGGAGTCCGATTCAAACGCATCTCGGGTACCTCAATAGGATTCAAAAACATCGCCTCCAAAATTGCAAACGAACTCAGACTATGAGACGTGCAGGAACGCGAAAACCAATACAAGCAGTGAACTAAATACAGAGAAACCGTTCATGTCTCGGTGCGATGTACCTGCTCCTTCACTTTACACCCTTACAGAATTCGCGGGTTTCTATTGCAAAGCAATCACCAAGTCACCCTAAGAACCTTAAAAGTATCCCCTTCGCAGCAGAAAGAATCCAGGGTTGGATGGCCAATATCACATTGTGATGTCATCAAATTAAATCAATCGTAACTCCTCATGATCAATTTGCTCACCTTTCGAGTCTGAGGAGCATTTTTTGTCCTGTTTTCCGGCTCCCTTAGAAGACGTTTTGGTACTTGGATATCATAATTTGGCATTTTTACTCTCCTCTCTTTTTCGATTCGACTTGAATCGATTTCGACTATCTATCATCTTCACACAGTCTTTAGTTAGCGCATTTCCGATTGTCACGACACCAAAGCTTTGCCTTTATTGTTCGACACTTAAACTGAAATCTGAGTGTTTACAAACATAAATACAGGTGAGAACTCTCTCTTCTCTTTTCCTGCTTTATTATTTATCGTCCATGCAAAACTCATTAAATTCGACATATTCTCCATGTGTGACCCATTTGCTCAATCGATAAGTTTGGATGTTTCGAATTGTGAAAAAAACTGGTGCTCAACTCTTCTATCTGGGAGCAAATTACATTACCGTTACGCAATTGTGCAACGTTTGTTCATAGTGCTTAAACTATTGCTGATGCACTCCAGGAATCCGTTTGTGGTTTAATATTTCAAATAATTTCCGAAGGCAGTTCTAGTTATAGTGCATTTTCGAGACTGATTTGAGTAAACTTTTTTGAAAGCTGGAAGGTCTTCATCATTATCATGGAAAAATCGTTATTCGATGCAATCTAAATCTTTGTAATTAAAAGCGTTGTTAAAACTCCCTAAGCTAATCGGATAATCAATATAATTGTCAAATACTTTGCAACATGATTGATCAGTCTATTGTCGCTCCCCTTCAATGTTTTACATGTCTTGGGTGTTTCAAATTAATAATTTAAACCAAAGCTATTTCAATAAGTCGACATATATTTGAAATAAAAAAACTATCTTAAATTAGATTTATACTACTGCAAATGGAGATCAAATGATATTTCTATTGGAGAACGATGATGCTTGTTTTGTTATGAATTGATTCATTGGATTTATTGTCTATTTTCGACACATGAAAAGGTTTAATTATGACAATTATATCTAGCGAAAATTTAAATACTACCTTCTAACTTTTAATGAGTAGCAGATGGTAAAACTCGACAAAAATCAAATGAGCTCAGACAAAGGTAATTATATGACAAATATTGTCGAAAAAAAAACTTAAAACGGAATTTTGCTGAGGAGTTGGTCTCCAAATGCAAGTAGAACGGGTGACCAACTGAGTAAGCTGGGAATACATTTCACGTGTGCGAGTAAAGAACAAGCACGGAGAAATGACCTAACTGAAAATGATTCGAATAATAAAAAAACATCCGAAAGCACTTTAAAATCACCTTTCATCTTCGGATCAATTATCAAATAAGCAATCTCCACCCCCCTAATGTCCAGTTGAGCTATCTCGCCTCCCCACAAGCAAAAAGGGTAAGACGCTTTAAGAACGACGTCAACAAACGCAAATAGATGGCTGATGAGTTCATAGCGCGCAATCAATTGAGCGACTGAAATTCATTTAATGAGTATCGAGAAATTTGCGATAATTAATTCCGCAAATTTTAGTTTGGGCAACCATTTCCTCATCGGGGAAAACGAGTTACCAGAGTTGGTGCTCTAGCCTAATAAATGAAAACCAGAAACTGTTCTCTGAAGGACCTTAATAATGTACGCAATAGCCTTTTTCCATTTAGGGAAGAAAAAATAGCTTTGTGCCTCAGTTTTGATGATTTTTTTTTCACTCTGAATGCAATTCTTGAGCTTTGATATTGTAAATTTTGGCGTTCCACATTCGTTGGGAGAATCTGGTCCATGATTTCATATCATTAAAACTATTTTCACGTGGTTATAAACATGTCTCAAGTACCTATCGAGGTATCCCCCCCCCCCTCCTCCTACTCGAGAATGAGTGGGGGGAGATTGCTCAATTGATCCCAATCTTCTCTTTTTTTGTTGAAATTAAGAGATGATTGAAGTGGATTTGTAAGTGTCAGTTATAATGGTCATGGCACTTATAAAGTCACGTTGGCTTTGTCAGTAGGTCTTAAAAGTTGTTCACGCTCTTAATTGTATTTTTTGTCGTTCGACTTTGGTTTTCTTCAGCTCAATTTAATTTCATTCGCTTGAAGAAAAAAAATTGCACTCTTAAATGACATTTTTATGTTGCAAAAAACATGAAATGTCTTAGTTTTGACTGAGGAATTGAAACTAAAATTAGTTATTGTGTAATTTTTATCAAAAAAGTATCAATCATTAAAGATTCTGGAGCTTGAGAGAGCTGGAAATTGATATATTTTTTCTCTGAAATTGCAAAGCTGATATTTTTTACAATACGAATATTTCTTTCATTCCCGATGAGTGTCTTGACATTTTTCCGACTCTATTTTGGCTATGTGTTTGATGATTTTTGTCGTTTGTATGGAACTGATTTTGACAAAAAAAAACATTTTCCCACTATGATTTTTAATATATCCTTTTTCTGCCGACCAACCTTAAATTTTTCTAACGGCGCCTTCGGTACCAGAATAAAGTAATTTTGAAGTGGAGCGTGCCAAAAAAAACCCGAACTTTGGGTCGAAGTTTTCCAAAAAGTGCCAAAAAACGATATTTTGACCTGTTTTTTTTCAAAAATTTGCCTGGCGAACAAAACTTGTTAATCAAGAGTATTTATAGTGTTCTGGGAGCGCTCGGAAAATGGTCGGCGAAAAAAAAAGTGGACAAACTTGCTGAAAAAAAATTTAGATGCGACCTTGTCTTGATGTAACTATTTTAATTTTTATTCTAAAAAATTTAATTGCACAAGCGAAAACTCGTGTTATATTACAAGCGCGTTTTCCCGACAAAACTTGTATTTTTTTTTCAATAAAAATGAATATTTTGAGTGTCTTGGCACTGCTGGAATTCTAACTCAATCACCTGTTTTGGTGTTGGCGAATGTTTACAAGACAGTTTAGAATATTGCAAGACAGGTTATGGCGCATGAATGAAAACAAAAACCTAACACGAATACTGGAGATCGAATACTGGATGATTTCTTATCGCAGTCAGGCAACATTCTGGTAACCTGAAATGAGTACTAGTCAGTTATTGGCACTGTTTAAAATGGAATGTGAAGATGAATTTGTTCCAACATAATTACAATTGCTATGTAATCCGAGCCCCGGAGGCGTGTTCATATATTTTTTTTTGAATATCAGAATTCGCGTAAGTTTAATTCCCTTTGCAAGTCCCCATCATATCTCAACGGAATCAGACCAAGTGTTTTTTGATACTTCTGTTGCTACCAAGATTTTTGTCATTAATAATTAGTAGTTCCCATTCCCATAATTTTATCATATATGGGAATTTCTGGTAAAATTCAAGTAAAATGCCATTCGCATTCTGATTCTATTCAGACGAAAATGGGAATGCGCATTCCTTCTCCTAAGACAGTTTTGCCCTCTCCCTTGCATTCTGGACAATTTTTTTAAATCTTAAAATTACTGCAAAGCGACTCAGTTTCGACGATTTGAGCAAGTTTTGATTTGAGCAACTATTTTCACGTGGTAATAAACATGTCTCAAGTACCTATTGAGCTATCCCCCCTTCCTACTCGAGAATGGGTGGGAGGAAATTGCTCAATTGATCCCAATCTTTTCTTTTTTTGTTGAAATTAAGAGAGGAATCAAGTAGATTTGTACGTTTCAATTATAGTGGTCATGGCACTTACAAAGTCATGTTGGTTTCTTCAGTTGGTCTTAAAAGTTGTTCACGCTCTTAATTGTATTTTTTGTCGTTCGACTTTGGTTTTCTTCAGCTCAATTTAATTTCATTCGCTTGAAGAAAAAAAATTGCACTCTTAAATGACATTTTTATGTTGCAAAAAACATGAAATGTCTTAGTTTTGACTGAGGAATTGAAACTAAAATTAGTTATTGTGTAATTTTTATCAAAAAAGTATCAATCATTAAAGATTCTGGAGCTTGAGAGAGCTGGAAATTGATATATTTTTTCTCTGAAATTGCAAAGCTGATATTTTTTACAATACGAATTTTTCTTTCATTCCCGATGAGTGTCTTGACATTTTTCCGACTCTATTTTGGCTATGTGTTTGATGATTTTTGTCGTTTGTGTGGAACTGATTTTGACAAAAAAAAACATTTTCCCCCTTTGATTTTTAATATATCATCCTTTTTCTGCCAACCAGCCCTAAAATTTTTCTAATGGCGCCTTCGGCACCAGTATAAAATAATTTTGAAGTGGAGCGTGCCAAAAAAAAACGCGAACTTTGAGTCGAAGTTTTCCAAAAAGTGCCAAAAACGACATTTCAATAAAAATGACTATTTTGAGTGTCTTGGCACTGCTGGAATTCTAACTCACTTGCCTGCTTTGTTGTTGGCGAGTGTTTACAAGACAGTTTAGAACCTTGCAAGACATATTATGGCGCATGAATGAAAACAAAAATCAACACGAATACTGGAGGTCGAATACTGGAGGATTTTTTATCGCATTCAGGCAATATTCTGCTAACCTGAAATAAGTACTAGTTATTTATTGGCACTGTTTAAAATGGAATGTGAAGATAAATTTGTTCCAACATAATTACAATTGCTATGTAATCCGAGCCCCAGAGACGTGTTCATATTATTTTTATAAGTTTATTTCCCTTTTCAAGTCCCCATCACATCTCAACGGAATCAGACCAAGTATTTTTTTAATACTTCTGTTGCTACCAAGATTTTTGTCATTAATAATTAATAGTTTCCATCCCCATAATTTTCTCATAAATAGGAATTTCTGGTAAAATTCAAGTAAAATGCCATTCGCTATCTGATTCTATTCAGACGAAAATGGGAATGCGCATTCCTTCTCCTAAGACAGTTTTGCCCTCTCCCTTGCATTCTGGACAATTTTTTTAAATCTTAAAATTACTGCAAAGCGACTCAATTTCGACGATTTGAGCAAGTTTTGATTTGAGCAACTATTTTCACGTGGTTATAAACATGTCTCAAGTACCTATCGAGCTATCACCCCCTTCCTACTCGAGAATGGGTAGGAGGAGATTGCTCAATTGATCCCAATCTTTTCTTTTTTTGTTGAAATTAAGAGAGGAATGAAGTAGATTTGCACGTTTCAATTATAGTGGTCATGGCACTTACAAAGTCATGTTGGTTTTTTCAGTTGGTCTTAAAAATTGTTCACGCTCTTAATTGTATTTTTTGTCGTTTGACTTTGGTTTTCTTAAGCTCAATTCAATTTCATTCGCTTGAAGAAAGAAAAATCCACTCTCAAATGACAATTTTATGTTGCAAAAAACATGAATTGTCTTAGTTTTGACTGAGGAATTGAAATTAAAACTAATTATTGTCTAATTTCTATCAAAAAAGTATCTATCATTAAAGATTCTGGAGGTTGAGAGAGCTGGAAGTTGATATATTTTTTTTCTGAATTTGCAAAGCTTAAGTTTTTTACAAGACGAATATTTTTATCATTCCCGATGAGTTTCTTGACATTTTTCTGACTCTATTTTGGCTGTGTTCGATGTTTTTTGTCATTTGTATGGAACTGATTTTGACAAAAAAAAACATTTTCCCCCTTTGATTTTTAATATATCATCCTTTTTCTGCCGACCAACCCTAAAATTTTTCTAACGGCGCCTTCGGCACCAGTATAAAGAGTATAAAGTAATTTTGAAGTGGAGCGTACCAAAAAAACGCGAACTTTGAGTCGAAGTTTTCCAAAAAGTGCCAAACACGACATTTCAATAAAAATGACTATTTTGAGTGTCTTGGCACTGCTGGATTTCTAACTCACTCACCTGTTTTGGTGTTGGCGAGTGTTTACAAGACAGTTTAGAATCTTGCAAGACATATTATGGCGCATGAATGAAAACAAGTCTAACACGAATACTGGAGGATTTTTTATCGCATTCAGGCAACATTCTGGTAACCTGAAATAAGTACTAGTCATTTATTGGCACTGTTTAAAATGGAATGTGAAGATAAATTTCTTCCAACATAATTACAATTGCTATGTAACCCGAGCCCCAGAGACGTGTTCATATTATTTTTTTGTGAAGATCAGAATTCACGGAAGTTTT